GAAAAAAAATGATGAACTTAACCAGCCTAGACTTAGTCCGCTGGTCAATGTAAACATGATATATACAGACAAATAAAACTTGCCATAATAATAATAATAACTTTATTTAATTATATAGCCCTAATTTCATAAAAAGCCCAATGGTGCTTAACAATTATAAAAAATAAATGAATGAAAATTTACATTTTTGTATCACTAACGTATTGAAAGTATAAATTTACATTAAATTAAAATAATATCCGATAATATATAAAAGATATGATGAGCAGATTTGGTTTTAAAAGTACATACATATATATTTCTTTATTTTTAGTTTATATGTTTTCATAATATCCTTCCATGGTCTTTAGGTCTGGCCATTGGTATATTCAATAGCAGCGTCGTGCCAGACAACAGTCTATCAGCAAGTTCTATTTTTAGTAGCATGAGATCTGCAGCCAAAGCCAGGCTCCTTGGTATTAGTTCATGGAGACCACGTGACAATGATACCAACCCATGGTTACAAATAGACCTTGAAGAGGTTTACTACGTGTGTGCTGTGGCTACACAAGGTGACCCGAACGGTAACGAGAGGACAAAGAAATACATAGTTAAAGGATCTTTAGATCATCAAAGATGGATGTCTGTAGAAAGCGGGGAATTGGAAACTTCGGAAAAAGAAATGGTAAATCAAATGAATGAGAAATTTTAACTGATATAATATATAATCACTAATCACCTTAAAATTATATCACGAAAAATTCCTGCTTTGTGATCAGAAATCGTTGTGCGCAAGATGAAATCTAAGGTGAAATGTTAGGTATTTACAGTATTTCCAAGGAACGAATTCAAATAGAACGAGCAACTGGACAGAGGTCTCACTCAACATGAAGTTAATGAGGCATGGAGCACCAGCGAATTTTAGCATTTTATCTTTAGGATTTGTGGCATTTTAGAAGATTGCACTTGGAAAGAGGGGGGAGGATAGAAACCCTACTCTTTGGTTCTCCTGTAACTTTATTTTCTTGTGTTCAGATTTTTACTGGTAACGAAAATAAGGCGACAAGCATCATCAAGCATATCTTGCCCAGTCCCCTAGCAGCTAGATTTGTACGGTTCTATCCTGTAGAAAAGATTGAAGCATACGCCTTGAGAGTGGAAATATATGGTGTTACCAAAGAACCAGGTACGCATGTTGAGTTTTTTGTTGAAAGAGCAAATACAAGATTCTGAGTTGAGATTTGGGAGTAGGAAGTGGGGTGGGCCGGGGTAGGAATCACTTCAGTAACACATTTCTATCACTTGAAATATTTTCAGAATGTTATACTTCCTACGTGTACATTATATATGAATGTGAATATACCCAGTAAATGACCCCTCGTCGCGAGTCTTTCTTATAGCTCCTCAGTGGTAGAACGTGCGACCGAAATCCGGAAGATCATGTGCTCGATTCCAATCAGGGACTTTTTAGCTAGAGACAAAGGATAAATAATTTCTATTTCCTGAATTTTGAATAAATTTTTAGGCAAAATTCTAGGTTGTGGTGGTGGGAATTCACGGGCTCCCATGAAACGTTCCCCTGTTTCCTGCTTTTCAAACATAAGCAAACATTCTAATAAAGCCTTCTTGTACTTTTTGTTAGCTTCACCGATACCACCACCGATAGGGAACAAAGAACTGCATCCCAGTCACGGTTCGCATGCAGACTTGGTTTGCAGAGCAGAAAGAGGACTAAAAATCAAATGGTACCATAACGATACAGACGTTACAAGTTACTCTATCGGTTCAGTAAGAACAGGATCAATACTCATATCAACACTACGTGTAAACTACACATCAGCTGAGGATGTTTATGACAAATATTCTTGTGACAAAGCGCTAAGAAAATGTACCAGTTTGGACTACATTTGTCAAGTCGATTATGGTTCATACAGAAAACTGCAAAGCAGGGGGAAAATCTCCATATTATTAGGTATGTGTTATTGTTTTTTTAATTTCTAGCTTTCAAAAAAGACCTTTCCAAAGCATCACCGTAATCTAGGTGAAGCAAAGCCGATTTCCTCCCTCCGTACAACACAACATGTGAGTTGAATGTGGTATGTGTGTGAGTGTGAACGTGGGGACACTACAATTGGGACCTGGTTCCCCTTGTCTCCTCCTGGGTTTTCCCCGAAAAAGGATTAAAATTTGTTTCAGTCAAGACTTAGTGT